TGTATTAGCTTATACTTACATACACTACATAAACCATATATAAACTCGATAACGATCGACAAATAACTGTTTAGACAACGTAGTATTGATTCAATTATATAAACACTTTCTGACTTTTTCTTGATCATTATAGTCATTTAAGACATGCTTTCTTTTCTTATTACATAATCATAAATAGTTGTACACAAATTAGATTAATATTTATCTAATCGTCTATATACATTTTCATCGGTTCTAACAAACATTCGTGTGCTTGTAAGTATATAGATATACCATACTATTTTTATATGTTTATTATTATATACTTTATGTTTATTTCATTTTTCTTTATAGAAAAAAATATGTTATTTATTAATTTCTTTATAATACTTATAATTAGCAGTTTTGCTAATTGTTACTTTTGGAACGCATCAGATGGAATTCTTCCATGGGAATCTTATTTACAATTAGGTCATATTCAACGACCATTAGGTCTTGTACTTAATCAATCATCAATTACTCATCATCATTTTTCTGTTGGATATCTTTGTCTACAATCATTTATGTATGATGAAGCACAAGATGCTTTCAATTTAGCACTTAATGTCACTCCTACATTCATCGAAGCTCACATTGGTAAAATTCTCGCGTATGTTTTAATACACCCTACATTTCCATAAGATATATTCTTGTCTTTATTAGATGTAAACATGCATTATGGTCGGATACTGATTTTGAATGTGGTTTAGCAGCTTATAATGCAGCTCAAAGCATGTTAAAAACATCAAATATTATGTTATCACCACTTCAATCATCACTTCTTTCAACTGCCTATTTATGGTATTCTAATAAATCATCTATTGCAGCTGGAGAACTTTCATTTGCATCATCAATAGGAAATCTATCACAAGCATATCCAAATGAAACCGATATTAAAGTTTTATGGGGTCTTTCTCTTCTAAATGTAGCCTATCAACATGAGTTCGAAAGTGAAATGGAACCAGCACCAATGTTGAAATCAAGAGAAACACTAAAAGCTGCTCTAAAAGATGAACCAACTCATCCGGGTGCTCTTCATTATTTAATACATGCTTATGATGTTGATCATGTTAATACAGCAGAAAAAGCAGCGGATTATGCAGTTATGTATAATACAACTGTTTTAACATTATCACATGCACAACATATGCCTGGTCATATTTGGATGCGTACAGGTAAAAGAATATTTTCCCCAAAGATTTGATCTTATTCATAGACGAACTATTTTAATATTCGAATATATATTGAATTAGGTGCATGGCTTCTTGCTATGGGTGCAGATTCAACAGCTATTCGAGTAAGTTTAGGATTATGTGCTACTAAAATATTAAATCGTCACACGTTAATATTCTCACCTGATCTGGAATCTGTTTTGACTACATTTAATACGACAAATCAAACTTTATCTCTTCTTAAATGTGATGCTGAAAATCGAGCTCATTCAACAGAATGGCTTTCCTATTCTCGTTTACAAACAGGTGATTGGTTAGGTAGTATTTCCTTAACTCATAATCTATTTATTGCTGACAATAAATCACTTTTAACACCAAATCATTATTTACCATTTGCTTATCGAGCTCAAGCACGTACAATTGTCGATATTTTCTTTTGGTCTCCATATAGTACTCAATTTCTCAATAAAATCGAACCTCTATTATTATTCAACAAAGGACAACCATTAGTTTTGTTCGGCGATAATCCTTCAGGATGGTATCCTATATGGAGTGAAGCAGCATATCGTTATGGTAAAATGAATCTTTTTAATTTTTTTTAAATTAAGAATATTATCATTGTTTTAGTTGAATGTCTTCGATTATTGACTAATTATCAAACAAGTAATAATAAATCTGGTATTTCATCAACAATAGATAAGCATCTAGCTCGTTTTCTTATACTTTCTAATCGAACAACTCCATTAAGTAAATATATAGCAAATAATATTTTAATGATGATACCACAAGTACTTGGAATGCGTTATTATATTAATGGATCATGGCAAGAATGTTTAAATGAATTAAATACAGCTACTCAACTAGAATCAGCAGTAGTATCGAGTGGTAATAGTCCTACTTTAATATTTGCACGATCATCAGAATTACTTGCTATGCATTTATTACTTATCTATGAAAAATATCAAGAACAATTAGTACGTATTTCTTATGCTACTTATTTTATCAGTAATATTTTTTATTTTCTTAGTTAAAGAATTCAACTAATTCTTCGGTATATATGCTAAATGGTACGCAGACAAATATTAACAACTTTCCATTAATAGCATTGGATTTATATAAAAAAGCGGATCAAATAGCTCCTAATCGAGCTATAAATACACTTGGTATGGCTCGATGTAATGCTCATCTTCATCAGGAAAGCATAGCAGTTAGTTTATATCAACAACTCTATATGCAAATGACTACTTTCAATAATAGTGATGACTATTTTCTTAAAGAAGCAAATCAATATCTTGATCATCATAATTCAGCTATAAATTTTAGTTTTTCTCCACTTTTAATCATTTTTTCACTTTTCTGTTTTATTTTTAAATGAAACTTAAATAAAACTCAATGTAATTTATTATTATTTAATTATTCAACATTTATATTATAGTAAAATTTCTTTCAAATAGATGTAGTCAAAACTCAATTGATTTTGTAAAGGAAATTGTTTATGTTCACAATAAGATAGTAAAACTAGTAGTGAGTCATTTGTAAAAAAATTTCGCTGATTACTTTTTCTATTTTTAAAAATTTATTTTGGCTGATAACTCAGGATGTGTTTAGTTTTAAAATTGTTCCGATATAACAAATTAGGCTAAATTGTAAGTCTTCGAAACTAGATATTTAGTCTGGAATGTGATGTACATTATTACGTTAACGGATTGATATGTTATGAAGAGTAGGATTTCAATTTATCACAATTGTTGTCAGTGAAGATCATTTATACAAAAAACGAACCTTCGATAAATTTGTAAAAAAATTAGTACTTAAATATATATAACCTCAGTTTCTAGGTAAAAGGTATTGTCTCGTAATCAAACGTCGCAGTACTAAATGCTCGTTTAGTTTGAATAGCTGTCAATACGTATTTATTGACGTACAAAGGCTTTATCTCATTATATATATATAAGTACTTATCCATTTTTGTTTAGTCATCATGTGATACTTTTACTGTACAATTGTTTGCTCCTTCTATTCATTAGACAATTGCACAACGTAAGAATCGATGAGTACAAACGATATAGTCATAGACTGTCATTGTTGGTATATTTTCTTTTATTCATAGTCAACGAAGCGAATAGATTTCATATTATATATTCTAATATATTTTCATTTTGTATTTGATCACCAAATATGATAGCATTTACTCTTGTAGTACTTTTTATTAGTTATAACCATATTGATTCTCAATCATGGAACACATCAGATGGAATTCTTCCATGGGAATCCTATATAAAATTAATTGATATTCAACAACCATTGGGTCTTGCACTTAATCGATCATCACTTGCTCATCATCATTTTGCAATTGGATACCTTTGTCTTCATACATTTATGTATGATGAAGCACAAGATGCTTTTAATTTAGCACTCAATGTCACTCCTACATTCATAGAAGCTCACATTGGTAAAATTCTAGCGTATGTTTTAGTATATTCTACATTTCGATATGATATATTTTTGTTTTTATTAGATGTAAACATGCAATATGGTCGGAGACTGATTTTAATTGTGGTTTAGCAGCATACAATGCAGCTCAAAGTATGTTGAATACATCAAATATTACATTATCACCATTGCAATCATCACTTCTTTCAACTGCTTATTTATGGTATTCCAATGAGTCATCTATAGCAGCTGGAGAACTTGCATTTTCATCATCAATAGGAAATCTATCACAAGCATATCCAAATGTAACTGATATTACGGTTTTATGGGGTCTTTCTCTTCTCAATGTAGCATATCAAGATCAATTCGACGGTGTAATGGAACCAGCACCAATGTTGCAATCAAGAGAAGTATTGGCAACTGCTCTAAAAAATGAACCAAATCATCCGGGTGCCCTTCTTTATATGATACTCGCTTATGATGTTGCTCAGAGTAATATAGCCAGTAAAGCAGTAGATTATGTATCAAGTTATCAAAACTTATCTTCGACATTGTCCTATGCAATATTTATACCTGCTCATATTTGGATGCGTATAGGTAATTAGAATTTGATGATATATTACATAAGAAGAAAAAATACTTCTATAATAACTAATTCATTTTTTTAATATTATCTAATTTTTACTATTAGGTTCATATGCTTCGGCTAAATCATCTGATTTCTCATCTCTTCAAGCTAGTTTATCGTTATGTTTAATTAAAATAACGGGTCGTAATATGACTATTGCTTCAACTGAACTTAACTCTGTTCTAGCTCAATTAAATACTACAGATCAAGTGCAAGCTTTTCTTCAATGTGATGCTAGAAATCGAGGAACAGCCACAGAATGGCTAGCTTCTTCTTTTCTACAAACAGGTGATTGGAACGATACATTGTCTTCCATAACTGATTTGTATCTTGCTTATAATGAATCACTTCCAATATCAAGTCTTTATTTATCATATGCTTATCGAACTCGTGCACGTGCTGTTATCAATATATTCTATTGGTTACCATACGATATTCAATTTATTGACATGGCAAATAAAGTACAACAACTACATGATACATTGGATTCATTTACATCGAATACTAATATGACAGATGAAGATTTAGCATGGAGCGAAGCAGGATATCGACTAAGTAACATTTATAAAAAAAAATTATATTTTTCTTTTATCATAAATATCGTAATAATTTAGGTAGTTGTTTTCGAATATTAACAAATATCAATGCAACTTATTCTGATCCAACTATACAACCAACAATAGATGAACATCTTGCTCGTTTTGCTGTACTTTCTAATGAAACTGCATCATTAAATCCATATATATCAGTTAGTATATCACTAATGATAAATCAAGTTTATGGAATTATTTATTATCAAAATAATTCATTTCGAGATTGTTTAAGTATATTAGATGCAGCTACTCAACGTGAATTTAGTCTTGTTATTGATAACAATAGTCCTATTTTGATATATGCACGTTCTTCCGAATTACTTGCAATGCATTTATTACTAATTCAACGAGTAGCATATGGAAATCTATCAGCAACTGTAAGTTTATATTTTTTTTCATATTTAAATAGGATTAAAATAATATTTATTTAGGCAATTGCTAATCTTCCTACATTCACGTTAAATGGTACTCAAGTATCTGTAAGCCAATTTTCACAATA